CGGAAGGATGGAAGGCTGAGTCAACCCTGAGCCGGTGAGATTTGAACCGCTGACCTGCTGATCTAGCAGTAGCCTGCAGTGCTGCATTTAACCACTGCAGTGCTGCATTTAACCAGCCTGCAGTGCTGCATTTAACCACTGCACCACCTTGGCTATTACAACAATTATTCAATAAAACTGACAGCCAAAAGAATACATAACACCATGTTACTCTGCATTAATTCCTGGTTGTATCAACTGAATCTTCCTACCAATTTAAAATAGTCAGGATGCCCCTTTATGAGAGATTATGCAGAAAGCTAATATGGACAACAAATGTTCTTCATACAGTTTTTTCAGACCCCTTATGGCAACTCTGCAAAGGCTCAGGTGCCATCTTGAGTTGTATTGTTATTATTAAGCATTGTTTATTTAAAAATATTAAAGTTCATATACTATATTTTCTTTTGTGTTTTAGTTAATGCTCTTCTTTACATTTTTTACAGTTTATTTCCTTGTGTTTCATGCCATTTTAATTTGATGTGCAAAAAATGTATATTAACTACAAACAATATTACCTTATTGCTAGTTACACTTAACATTGCACTCATTCAGCTTAGGATAATATTTTAGGATAATGCGGTAGTAATTACTGGAGATCTTTCATTATCCTAAATCCAATGGTGTTAGTTTTATTTTACCTACTCCATCTAATGGAAGTCTCTCTCTATACAGCTCCAGGAGATAAATGGAATATGTATTAGATCTTGTTGATCCTAATTCCAGATACTAGAAGAAAATCAACAATGGAATACTGATGTTCTGATTTACAAGTTTCCCCAATGTTTTTTTTTTTAATTTTGTTTATAGTGTCTCCTTTCTTGGCAACTGGTTCTACTAAAGTTTACCATTAGGAACTCTTATCATCCTTGTTGCCCTCTCTACTTTTCTACTTTGTCTGTATCTCTCCTAGGTGCATGTTTCAATTTCTTTCTATCCTTTCAAACAACGGTGAAACTTTTAAATTTTAAAATAACCATTCTCATTTGATCAAAGACCCAGAAATAAAATAAAAAATGTCTTCCTTTACTGTTGCATAACATTTCAGTACACCATAAAAGCAAGATATAAGTATTTTCAATAAGTTGCAAATGATCAGAACAAATAGAAAACATTATGAGTACATAACAGATTAAATGAAGGCAATAGAATGTTTGCTTAAGTCTTTAATCCAAAGAGAAAAGAGGTTTACCTATTTGGTAATTTACGCTGACAGGTTTGCTACTGGCAGGACTGTCCCCTCGCCCAGTGACAGCATACACAGTAATGGTGTAATCCACTCCAGGCTTAAGATCGGAAATCGGAGCAGTGGAGACATGGCCAGGAACGGTGAACTCTTGAGCAGGCCCACTGCCACCTGAAGGTAAAGGGTACAAGACAGTTAAGAGATTTCTCCTCTTCCTCCTCCTTCTCATCCCAATCTTTCCCCTTTTAACCATTATACCAAAGTGGCTTTCACTTTCCAATAACTTCCCATAAAAGGAAACACACACACACACACACACAGACACACACATATATCATAAGGAAAATGGATGTAAATTGTAAACAGTGATTTGGAAAGGAGGACTAGAAATTTTTGTTATTAAATATTATTGATGTTTAGTCAGAATAGGCCATAAAGATGTAGTGTTATTGGAGGATATTAGAAATAACAAATGAAATGCCAGTAATGTGGGTAGGGTTTTAAATATCTTGGTACATTTATAGTCAAATTATAATCAAATGAATATGGAGGTATGATGATGGTAATATGTATAAAAATATCTGATTTAAAATACTTGAATTAATACGAATTTTATGACGACAGTGGAAGAGATGCACAAAAGCTTTTTGTAACCAACTGATACACTTTCTACAGTATGTAAAGAAGGAGGATTCTTTGTGTTGTGTTTGTTTTGAAATTTTAAAATAAAAAAAACTTTTTTTAAAAAAAAAAGGAAAAACATATATATTGTTGTGACCCAGCCACAACAATTAATGGTTTAGTGGCATCTTCTAACTAAACTATAAAATATCTGAAAAAACAGAATTGATAATTTAACATAGTTCTTGGCTCTTGTAAAATAACTTGCCTCAAAGATATCTCCAAAATTTATTTCAAAAGTTTTTTCAAAACATCAAGAATTCAGCTCTAAAAGCAGCTTTAAACGAATAGTCTGCCTTCCTTAGTTATTGAAATCTTTTACCCAGGAAATATCCTAAATAATTGTTGCTATTTTCTAACCTTGAAGAGCCGTTTCTGGCTGAAGACCTTTGGGTCTCCATCTGCCATTTCCCAAGAGAGGACAGACAGTCTGGTGAGATTCTGGTAATATAGGTGATCAACAATTAAATATCTATTTGGGCCTGTTCATGAATGATTCTTGGCTGCTTGCACCTGACATCTACAGTTTAAAATATAATATGTTAAGTCATCAATTAAATGCTTCTGTATTTGTATTACATTATGATCAAACAATATAAATCTGTACATTACAATTATACTAAGATTGTCTGAGTCATACGTTCAAATCTCCCTTGGATTCAGATCTGCTATGTGCTACTGATTTTTTTTTAAGCGGAAAGGACATTCTTACGGGAAAAACACACTTTATCCCCTTTCTAATTCCTATTCCACTGCCAGATGGCACTGATTGTTAGGCGTTGCTGTTACCATCCCATTATTTTTTTTCAGTTGAAGGCTAATCTTTTCTAACAAATATCAGCATCCAACAGAGCTCACCTGTTTCTCCATATGTGATCCTGTAGTATCGAACTGTAACAGCAGGTGCATCCCAGGAAACGACTAGACTAGTGGGGCCAGTAGCAGTCACCTGTAGGTCTCTTGGGACATCGGAAACTAGGAATGTTTTTTAAGAGCAATGTTTAATATTTATCTCATCTATCTTTTAATTGTTATACTATATACAACTCTCTAAATCCATTTTTTGCAGACTTTGAAGTTCCCCAAATCATGCTGCCAAAATTCAGTAACAAAGGGGTAATTTTCAGGTACAGGATTCCTCCTCTTTGTAAAGCAATTAAGATGGAAATAAGTATGGATAGGCTTTGCATGCCTAGTTGAGGAAGCCCACATGGGCTGAATTCTCAAGCCTGCAACTTCAAGATACATCATTGCTTATTTAGTGCCTTTGAGGCCCAATTTACCGCCTCCCTTCAAAATAATACAGTGATTTTGTTCTGCACAAAACTGTACCACATAATGACCACTAAAGTCTTACTACAGGATTCTTAGGGAATACATGCTTTAAAATTATTTATGAAATGATCCATGTGTCCCAGACAGCACACGCAGCCCCCAAGTGTCTGACAAGATACGCTTCAGCGTCCAAGCCCCAGCCCTTTCCCAAGGGCCATACAAGGCTGCACACGTGTCCACAGAGTCTGACTGGGAGCTGGCAGCATCTCTCAACTCTTATTCTCTCATCTCACTCGCAGCACCTCTCTGCTACCGACTAATGAGTCTGAAAAAAACACTGCAACATTAACAACAGAGAGGTCCCGTGTTCACACCAGGTCCAAAACACTCCATGTGAATCATTTACAATATTTGCACAGTCTCAATATTTGAAGCTGGCATTCCACAAACAGCTTCAGAGATTCCTTATCTTATTCGCCCTCTTCATAACCACTTAAAGCACCTTCTTCTTCTTATTGTGTTTAATGTCAGTAGAATATGTTCTGTGTTTTTCTGGCTCATCGGCTGCAAATACTGCCACATTTCTCATCTTTATGTTGAGAAGAGAACAAGCAGAGATATAGGGCTGGATCTCTGCATATAGTAACAATAAATACAGAATAAATTTGTAGAAGTTTTTGTCACTATATAAATTAAGTTGCTGCAATGCATCTTTTCATTTTTTTAAAAGTCATTTTTAAACATTTAGGTTCTTGTGTTTTTATACCACTTTAACCCATTAAAGTGAGGTTTCTGACTCAATTTGCTAATTCAGTTTTAGGAAAGATTTTTTCCCCCAAAAAGTGAAATCTGATTCCGCAGACGAAGATGCTAATAATTTGCGATTGTTTTTCTTCTTCAGCCCTTACCTGTGCTTTGCTGTCCAATTAGGGGCAAACTCTCCTCTTTGCCATAGAAGGCAGACACGCTAACCACATACTCTGACCCTGGGATGAGATCTGTGAGTGTGATGGAGTTGCGAGATGGTGCAACACGGACTTCTTTGGGTCTACTTCCACCTTGCTCAAGGTGGTGGCGTATTTTATAGCCAGAGATGGGGGAGCGAGGAGCGATCCAATGGACGGTGAAAGAATGGGCTGTTATTTCTGAGAAATCCAGTCCGGTGGGGGAATCAAGGCCTGTTTCACAAGAAAACACAATAGAAACCCAAACTTCAATAACTGCTTAATGTCTTGTTGCAAAAAGAAAACTACATAAACCTACAACCATTGTAAACATGAATTATTTTAATCCACGCTAGATTGCTGAAACGTTGAAACCATGTTCATTTTGGAAAATGACTTATTTCTGTAAATCTAATTCTGGAATTGCCTGAAGGCCCCTGCTTACTTTTCCAGCTGAAACCTGGCTCATCATGGTCTAACTCCCATATTTTACAATGTTTACAATATCTATCTGGGTGGTTATTCTAGCTAAAATGATGGTACAATCATAAAAGGCAGATATATAATGAATGGTTTTATTTTAACGCAAAAATTAAAGAAACACTTATTTTATTCATGTTGTTTCACATACCTGTTTTCTGCTCTCCACTCAGAGGTTTACTCTCATGTTGTTCATATACACTGTAGACCTTGACCAAGTATACTGTGCCAGGAAGAAGATCTGAAAGATTATAACCACAATGGTATCTGAGTATTAGCCAAGATCATTTTCATTCCTAACCCAAAAACTTTCCATACCCCTCTGCTCCTTGGGATTATGATATCCAGCCATTTCCTGAAACTCAATTGAATTTGAGCATAATCTGTAATTCTTTCCATCATTCATTTAATACTACATAAAATACATAACAGTTAAATTATAAAAACATTCAAATATTGCTTTTGAATTTGCTATCACCTGCAGTGATGGAAATTTAAACGTATCATGACTCAGCTATTAGTCTACCTCTTTTCTATTGTTTTAAACATAAAACATGGATTGTGCAATGTGCAGGTGAAATGTGAATTGTATTGTATTGTGAAGGGTTTGTATCCTTTGCCATTTTTATGAGAGGGTTCCCTGAGACCTGGAATAATTTTATTGCAGGGTCAAAAGATTTAAAAAGCCAGTAGTTCAATAATCTCTGATTAATTCTTAATTTGCTCAGTTATTAATGAAAAATGCTATCATAAGCTAATTATCAAAGACAAGTCAATATCTCAAGAAATTGAATTTGTGGAAACTTTTCAATTACTCTTATTCCATCATATCAAGTAAAAGAGGAAAGCAAAAAGTAGTTCACTGCTGGCTTTCCAGATTTTTCAGAATTAAACGGGCAATCATGAAGAAATATGATGCCTGATAAACCAAAATTTCTCTATTTTGAAAAAAAAAAGATATTTAAAGGCTAGATAAACCCTATAGGAATTAATACATGTAGAAAAATATATAATAGCTGTGTTATCTTATAATTCAATATTTTATCTCCTCTAATTCATAGTGCCATAAATTCTCTCAGGAACTTCAACTACTTTTGTAGACTGTTATAGCTGATTATAAAAAGTGGAAGAAAATGGAAGCTGGAGCTCAGGCACCATTTATACAACCTCCCAAAAGATCAAGTAATTTTAATGTGAAGAAGGTTCTTACTTGTTAAAACCACGGCGCTGTCCGAAGGCGAAATGGAAAGTTCTGCAACATCATCCTTGTTCTTCATGGGTGAGAAGCGAACCAAGAAGCTGCTCAATTCAACAGATGCTGGAGGAGTCCAGGTTACTCTGATGGTGTCAGGTCCCACATTGGTGAAACGGAGATCCGTTGGTGGAGGAACAGCTGAATTTAAAAAATAAGGACTTACATATTTTCAGAAGAAGCGGAGATAGTCAATAGTGATTTTAAAAAATGCCAAGTTCATGCACAAAGAAAATCCACTACTGAGGCAAAGACATGCAAATAACCTTCTAACCATCTATATCTCTAATTCCACTTAAACCAAAGCCTATTGTAAAGCATCTTTAACCTCTCAGTTCAGCCTTTACAGATTCTAATTATGTATTATATTATTACTATTATTTTTTTCAGATAGACAGTGAGATCCTTTGCATCTATATAATACAATTTTTGAGAGTATGAAATGAGAGGCTGTTTCCTTCGCAGCAGAACAATGAAGGAAACAGTACATACCTTCTTTTAAAACATTTGACAAACATGCAGGAGACTTCTCTGAAGTCTCTAGTAGGACTCTACTGTACAATTACTTCATCAAAGTAGTCATTCAAGTAAAATAAACACTAGTCTGCCATGCACAATGAATCCTCAGGTCATGTTCGGTACATGCACTACTGAGAATCTTCCCATGCTGCCAGTTGTCACTAGCTTGAGTTGGAGGAAGTTTTTTTCCCCACAACATTTTGGGGATTTAGTTCAACATTTGGGCCACTATAATATCTAAACACTATATGAGGATCATACATGCTAAAATTTTGCACACATCAAGCTGATGTGACAGAGAATATTGCATTATATAGTTTACCCTCTCTGATAGGGAAATTAATGAATGTTACATGTTTCTTCCATCAATTGTCAGAGCTTAAGAAAATAGGATCTGATGAAAAGAGAAACTTCCAACTGCAGATTCGCAAGTTAAATAAGCCAAATGCAGATGATTGTAAATGGATGGTAATGCACAGGATTCCAATTTTCATTTACTATCTAAAATAAAAGCTACTTAATGGTCCTCCCCACCGCGGTACATAGCGGTAAAGGGGCTATTTCTACTTGTCGTCCAAACAGCTAGTGACATCATGAAACAGCACTTTAGTTCAGTAGTTTTTCACTAATCACCCGTTTGTTGAATCAGCGTAGTAGGGGCGCTCTCTCCGCCATTAATGAGTGTGATTACACTGATTTCATAATCAATGCCCGGCTCCAAGCCTGTAACCATGTAGTATCCTACTGATGAATCCACAAAATCTTCAAAAATAGGGACAGTTTCTCCTGTGGCAATTACTTTGATGCGGTAGCCAATAATGGCAGAAGTATTTATTGGGGTCCACTTTAGGCCGATGCTTGTATCACTTACATCAACAAAGTTTAAGTCAGTAAGCTGGGGCACCTCTATTGCGTTAGACAGCAAAATATGGAGGTAATAACAAACAGACGCAGAACATGACGAAGAACAAGAGAGAGAGAAAGGATCATCAGGTTACTTCAATTTTAAATGAAAAAAGAGTAAATGGTAATATTGTAATATTGTTATAGTAATAACACCACAATTTACAATGACTAGTATTTAGCTAGGTATCTAATTATTCTTCCAATTTTCAAAACTGTTTCATGCATCATAAAGGAAATAAGATTTAGAGCTCATTCCTACAAAAATGCTGGCAAAAAATAAGCAAAGATTAAAAAAAAACAAAACAGGACCCTCATGGGGCTTCTTAGAAATCGCCCAGAAAAATTACCAACTTGGCCCACACTGTTGGAAGTTCTCTCAGGTGGAGGAATGAAGGTGCTGCATTTGGACCAGGACGAGGAGAATGGATCTTATCTCTCTTTACTGGGTGATTTTAGCCCCGCTTGCCTCACAGGATTGCAGGAAAAATCTGGAAGAGGAACACTGTCTATTCTACCTTGAACTTCTAAAGAAGGGGTCTGCAACCTTGAACACTCAAGCATTTGGACCCATTTCCCACAGAAAACACCGGGAGCCACAAAACCTGGGTGGGCATGGCCAACTCGCTCCCACCTAGTCCCATGACTCCCACCCACCCACTCACTCCCACCCAGTCACATTAAAAAAAACCCCGCCACGCCTCCCCAGCTCTTGGTATTTCCTTTTCTTTGGGAAAAAGCTCTCTCTCTCTCTCTCTTTGCTCTCTTTCTCCCTCTCTCTGTCTCTCTCTTTATCTCTCATCTCTCTCCCATCTCCCTCATCTCTTTCTTCCTCTGTCTTTTTCTATCTCATTCCCTCTCTCATCTCTCTCCCTCATCTCTCTTTTTCTCCCTCTCCTTCTCCCTCTCTCTCTCTCTCTCATGTGTGTGTATGTGTGTGTGTGTGTGTTCCCTT